TTGGAGGAGGGGGACGAAAAGGGAGGTCTGGCTTACTTAAAACCCCAAGAATGTCCTAATCTTGTAAAGAATATGAGTCTTCTGTGTGCAGGCCTCTGTAAAGCTTATGGATAAGCAGAGACCCATAGAGGTGTCTCTATGTCAAAGTTGAACTGTTTGCGTGTGGCTCTATTTCTTGTCCCTAAGTAGAAGGGAAATAGCCCACTTTTAATTAATGGGGAAAATGCTACGTGTACATTTACTTTAGCTTGGCTAAAGAGCTGTTTAAATATCATTTAGCTAGATAAATATTGCTCTGTATGTCAAATTTAAACCTGACTTATTGGTTCAGTTTGCACCTGTAACCAATATAACTTGCTTGAAATCCACGTGAAAGTGCCTACACAGGGATTTGTGCTGGCTTGGCATTTTTATTAGTTAAACTGCCATAACATGTAGGTGTGGACCTCCCCTTAGTAGCCTCCAGCAGTAAAAGTGGTGTCTTCTGTTTTTACTAACAATGGTAGGCAACATTTAAAACTTGACTGAGTGCTGCCCACTCTCTTCACACCATTTGGTGTTTTTGCATAAGACCACAAGTTTACTGGCAGAGTATCCTGTTTCTTTTAAAAACTAATGTATTGCACCTCACCACATCTGCCTCAGGAGCTCACAGCCCACACACTGGTCTTATATGCATCTGTCAAGACAGTCCACAATAGCACCATCTCAAAACTTCCAAAATTTTGAACACAAAATGCAATTACACTGCACAGAAGTGCTAAGGAAAGCTATCTACTCAAAGTAGTTCTGTGTGCGTGTGGCTGTCAGAGTGATGGGCAAGACTTGGAAGGGTCTCTGTTTTGTAGTTCAGTCCATCAGGGACTTCTAACCTCTGGGCACATCACTGCAGATGTTTCAGCTAAATAGGAAGTTCATATCCTATAATGGTAATGTTTCATGGGATAAGGTGTGACATGCCTGATACCCTGACTTAGTTCGCAGGAATATTATGGTTGTACCTATCACCTAAATAAAGGTGATCCTTCAGATAAAGCTGGAGGCTTTGAAGGAACACTAAGGCTTTCCTTGAATTGTCACCCAGTCCTGCCTATTGCCCTTCCCAGCATGTGGTGGGTTTCCAGCAAGACTCTGAGAGTCTGTTGTTTCAAGTGACTTGATTAAGAAATGAGAACAGATATCTGTGGAGGACTGCGTGCCTCCTGTGTCCTTAATAGCCTCTCTTAACCACAGTAAAATCAATAGGATTTGTAATTCCATGATAAGGCAAACATTTATTTTTTTACTTTCATTGTAGCGTGCAGTCATTTACTAGCTGTGTGATCTCATTAAGTGAGCAATGTTTTCCTTATACAGCTTTCCTGAATCCTCTTGAAACATCTGGATGGCAATGAGATGTCTCAGAGTTGCATTAGGAAGAACCTGGGGGCAGAGAGTGTATAGGTTATCTTTATTTGCAAGTCCAACTGCACCTTTGGCAATCAGTTTGTTAATAGTAACCGCTTGTTTCAAAGTTCGTAATTATCTGCGTCTATTATTTGCATTACATACATTTATTTTACATTTCATAGTCACATTATTATACATGTATATATACACTATATATATGTATTATTACATATGTGATTTTTCCTATGCTTCTTGTGTTGATCCATTGACTGTCAAAATAAACTTTATTTACATAAATAAATTATATAGTTGTAGTTGAAGTTTAGAGTTTGTATTTTATTTATAAAGTTCATAGCTGTATTTTACTCATCCATCTCTAGAGGTGTCAGTGTAGTTGGATACCATTGTGGCATGATATAGACAAGACGTTTATTGTTCTATTAGAACAGCGCTGCTTAATCACACAAATAATGATGTAATGGTTGTGGTTGTTGGAGTCTGCACTCAAGAGATGTGATATCAGGTTTTGGCTCAGCTGTGGATATGTGGCTTAACCCCAGTCAGCTAGCAGAAATTTTTTTATTTTTCTTTTAGAAGCATGATGATAATAAAACCGTCTAGTGGTCAGATAAGCTGTTTGGGGTTGTGGTACTGTTACATTAGGATCTAGGTATCTACTGGTTAAGTACTTGTCCTGTAATTAAAAATATCCTGCAATTATACATGGTGCATTATTTGTTGATTACTATATGTCTACCTCAATACTATTGCCGACAAGAAAGTAGTCTCCTGCACTGTTATGATGGACGGTAATACTAACAAAACTGAAAAGGCAGATCACATATATTCCCCTCACGCTCACCAGTTTTCAAGGAATAGGCAGAAAATGCAACAGCTTTTCTCAATTCTATTTTTTAAAGAGCTAAGTAAAAAATATTTTGAAGCAGTCAATGAAATATTTGTTTTATTTTTCTCCACTTGGGAAAAAAAAATAAAACCACTAGGTTCGATGAAGTTTGAAGAGCTAGATAGCTGGCTCTGTGAAAGATTTAGCCAGTAATTTAAGCATTTAAGAGAATGATTTGAGGGTAGTCAGAAAGGACAAATATGCTCAGAGTGAGATTCTAGCAGAAGTTAGGGGCCAAAGTACAAAGTTGTGATCTTTAAAAACACTGCTTAGCTGCTGGCTAACTCTCAAAGCAAGTAAACCAAGCAAATGCTCTACTTTGTTATTTCCTTTTAAATACATAAACAGTCTTGGGAAGAACGACTGAACCTAGTGTGACCCTGGCTCATGTGTGGCCTGACCAGCAGGTTACAGAGCCACATATCTCCCTCTATTCTGTCTCTGGTCCACTTCAGAGAAATTAATTTTTTGTGCGACAGCACAGCTTTAGCAGGAAGGGTTGAGGCTGCCCGGCCCAGCCCCAGACATAACTGTTAGGACACCTTCTCTACTCAATGCCAAGCATGGGTTCAAGGCCAAGGACCGTTGTGTGCTCACCTTCTCTTTTTTCCTGGGTGAGTGCTCTGGCTACTTTATGCTGTGTGAAGGAGTAGTTTTCCCCCAATTCATTGCAAACAGGAGTTCTGTTCAATTACTGGGAAAACAGATGCATGTTCCTTCAAGGGGGGTTTCTGCACCACCGAACTTAAATGGAGGAAAGTACTTTCTTCCAGCTAGGAGGAAGGCACAGGCACTGGGGCAGGACTGATGCTTGTGCTTCTCTGCTTGTGTTTGCTTTTGGCTGACCTGGGCTGCTGCAGCATCATGTGCGCACTGACTTGTACAAACTCCCTGTTTGGTGAGCTGTGCTTATTTCCTGCAGGTTCCTTCTCTCAGCTTCAGGGAAAAGTGTGTCATGCCTAAATCCTCTGCTGGATGGGACCACAAAGAACCTGGCTGTAGGCACACATCTAAAACTAATAGTATCTTTGGCTGAATAGTACGTTTCAAAGGTTTTCCAAGCAAAACACTGCTGCATGCTTAGAGCAGCCTGGGACCTGCAGGAACTTTGAAGCTGAGTTTATGGAGAATTATCCAGTGCAGGACACTTTTCCAGGAGCTGAGATGCAATAAGTTGTGCTACTAGAGGGTCTCTGACCAGCCAGCGGTTCCTAAGTGGATCTCAGGTGCAAATGAGAGTTAGCATAGGCCAGCAATGGGCAGTTTGCACATTCCAACTCTGGGAGGTTGAGAGACCTCACTAGTGTAGATTCAGGCTGACCTTTACTAGTTGGCCTTGGCATCTGGGAGCTAGTCTCAGCATGGTCAATTCAGTAGTGTGGAGCTAACCTGAACAAGCAGCATTTTCTCCTCTTTCTGGGAAGTGGCCGTTGTGCCAGGATACGTCAGCCCTGCCTTTTGCTGAGGAAGGAGTATGTTTGCCAGCATCGTGGATGTGAGCTGGCTGCTGGGGGGGCACCAGCAGGGCCAGCAGAGCTACCACTCTCCAGTGTCTGTTGCGTGGCCGGACCACGGTGACATCTGCAGGGCTGCAAGCTCACAGGGACATAGCTGAGAGCACTTTATGCTTATTGTAACAGTGGCATTTGGGACCCAGTCAGGGTGGGTTAGTAAAAAGAGTGAAGGATACCAGACCTATCAGGACTGAATTTGCAGTACGACGTAACTATATATTTTGTATATTTTACAGTACGACATAACTTTATATTTGTGGGTGAATTAAGGCAGCTATACGATTCCTTCATGCTTTGCATGACCAACATAAAAAAGTTACGTACATGCAACAACTCCTAAAAAATAGCTTCCCCAATTACTTCATTGTTTTGCTTCAAGGACTGTTTTAACTCTACTTCTGACTTCTTCTTTTTTTGTAAAAAATTTACTGTGTGTCCTTTGTTATTGTTTGTCACATTTCAACCACTTGCAAGGTATCAGTCAAGAGTGGGGCTTAGTCATAGATAGATGATAAAATGCTGATTTTTTCCTCTAAATATAACCTGAAAAACTATTTCTGAAGACCTGCAACAGAGTATTCTTTGCATATTTCTGGTAAATGGATGTTTTATAATTAAATGCATAGTAGATGTATGGTAATGATTTAGAAGTTTCTGTATGTGTTCACCTTTCTGTGAGTGTTCAGCTGCTGTGGGAAGATTCATTTAGAAAGGCTGTAGGTACTGAAAAATTGCCTCCTATTTTAATGTTTGCTATGAACTTCATTAAACATTTTATGAGATCTGTGCCAATTAAGACCATTAACATTACCATGAAACAGTAACCTTAGGAAAAAAAAAATTATACCTAAAAACATAAAGGCAGGGTTATTAACAAAAAGTGACTTATCAAGTGTAAATAAAATGACCTTAACAAAATGTGCGTCATTGTGCATTCATGCCCTCATTTACCATCTGGTTTCTGTTTTATGACCCTAGCTGTGGATTTATTTTGTCCTAGTGGACAAACAACTGGACGACACTTAAAAACACAAGCTGAAATGTAGGAAAAGCTTATGGCAGCCTTTCACATGCTTTGTATCACGTGGGGAAAAAATAGTTTATAGAAAAGCCGAGTTGACCTGTAATCATTGCATCCTGATAAGTCTTCCATGTAGTCATATGATTGTAATTTCTTTTACTTTCTTCAGATTTTCCTTGAAGTCCAGCTAAGAATGCAACCAACAATAAAGTGAAAAAGCTGTGCAGCTGAAGAACCATCCTTCTACTTGGTGAAAATGTCTCTTATTTTTTGACAACAATTAACGAACAATGGGGTCAAACACACTTGGGAAGGCTGCAACATTAGATGAGCTTTTGAACACTTGTATTGAAATGTTTGGTATGATTTTTCACTTTGCTGTTCTTGAAATTCATCTTATAGTATAAACCTTGCTGCTCTCTGATTTAGCCAGTCTTTCTCTTTACAAACAGCATTTCTGTTTTGTAAAATTTTCCATGTTTCATTTTGGCCCAGAATCACATGGGCCAGAATTTTTATCATTTGCGCACTTTATTAAAATTTCTTAATACAGATAATGCGCAATGGTGGGTAGAGTGGTTTTAAAATTGCTGGCCTTCACTAAGAGAAGTGTTTAGTTGAATTATTTGAAGAGTTATTTCTGGCATTGATCTTTGTCTTGAGTGGTTACACAGGTGCCTTTCTGACCAGTCATCTTTTTGGAAAAGTTTTTCAAATCATTGTGGAATAATTGGCAATAATATGACATAAGTGTCATATAATCGTTTTACACTTATTAAAGTGTGATGTACCAGGTCTGAGGGAAAGAAGTGATCAAATAAACCTTGATCCATACGTTATGATCCGGTGGTCCATAGACCATTAATCATTATATATATCACACTGTGGTCAGATGAGTTTGTGGATGGGCTTAAATGTTTTGAAATGTGGCCTTAATTCACAAAGCTCTCTTGAAATGCAGAAAAGCTTTTGACCGGAAAGAGGTAATAATCTTTTTTTCTCTGTAGTGAGAAACAAGTATCTAAAGGTAAGAGAGATTAAATAATTCAGAGGCAGATCTTGCTGCTGAGTGTAGTGCATCCCCATATATCCATTTCTGTAGACCACTATCAAACCTGTTGTTCCAAAAACCTAATGGGAGCTAGCAGAGCCCGTATGTTTGTCTGTTGGAAATCATACCTGTTCTCCTCGTACACACACTCTTGACAACTGTCATCCCTGTGTGATTCCCATTTCATACATGCATATCGTCTACTACCTTTTAAAAGAGTGCCAGACAGAGGATGATCTAAGATTGCAAATGTTGAGGAGCACTGATAGTCAGCCAGCCTGCCAGGGAATAACTCTTTCTCTAGTTTCAGTGATGTACAAGGGTCTGTACTGCAACTGAAGATGGGACCCTGGGCACAGACTTGAGATGCGCTCCTTTGACATTGACTTCCTTGAGGCAGATCCCTTTTTAACAATCTGATTGTTAACATAAAGCTATAAAGCTTCAATAAAACAAATATTGGAAGTCGTACATAAATCATCTGCCTGCTCTTGTTGTGGACTAAGTTTGGATTTGTTCTTTGGATTACTGGCAGTATCTTTGTATAATGTTTAGCATAGCGCTGTGCATAACTTGTTTTTCTAGCCTGTTATCTAAACTAATTCTTTCTTTCTTTCTTTTTTTTTTTTTTGCCTACCACTACAGTCAAGCAGTAGTTATCACTAAAGGAGCATTTGTGTTCTTTGGTTTTGTTTTCTACCTATTTGGTAGATTATGACCCAGTATCTCCACTTCTGATCCTTTCTCTCTGCCTCCACTTGAAGTGTAAAAGCTCCTCTCTGTTCATTAATAATGTGGTTGACTCACTTGTTTCTCTTTTGCAGATGACAAGGGAAATCAGTGCTCCAGCCATTTGCCAAGAACTTTTCTTTTAATGCATCGGTGGTATTTGCCTTCCACAGAGCTGGCTGGCAAGCTTCTTTCTACATATCCTTTCAATAAGACTTGCAAATTGACATTACAGCTTAAAAGCAGAATGTTTCTGTGACTGCATGTAAAAAATGCATCAATTAATTAGTGATAAACAAGGTTTAGGGGTAAGATTTTTTCAGCCTAAAAGGTAGAAGTCTATAAGCTTCTTTCTGCTATTGGTTGTGAACTTTTTCCATATTGTACAAGTTTTCTTAGTCAAACTTTGAATTAACCTTGAATAAATGGAAACATATTGCCAAGATAACTTTTCAGATATGTAATGGCAGGCTGACCTTGAACTAGTATGAACTTTCAGTGGTAGCTAAGCACCTACATGTCGTTTATACCTCTTAAAGACTTCGGTAATCGGAAGTATTATTGCATTTGATTAGCCAAAGCTGTCAAGAAACAGTTCTCCAGAATATTCAGAATAGTATATTTGAGGCATGTTTGCTAGGGCAAAAAGCAAAGCGGCAGCTGGAAAATGGTAAAAGATGCTGTGAAAGTGAATGAAATATTAGAGCATACTGTAGTTATCTCTGGAAGAAAAGGTTGATATTTTTTATTTAGCTTGTCTAGTGTCAGAGTATTCTGTGGATAAAACCAACGTTATTGGATCAAGGCACACAAAACTTTCTTTAACTAGCATACGTATAGAGATGCCAATGGGGAGAACTGCAACGAATTCAGATTAAAAATCTGCTATTTCATGAGGTAAACATGCTTCTGATCCTCTAGCATTTTGGTTTTGTGCTTCTGTGGATCCTATACAGTGTCATTTCTTTTTGTAAAGATTAAACCCTGGAAATACTAAGTTTATATTTTACCTTTTTTTTCTACCTTGATTTCCCATCCACAGTGAAGGGTGAATTTCTGTGCTTTGAAAACAGTTAAGTTGAGTCTTCCAGCTTTTAAGACACTTAAGTGTATTGACCTAAAATGCTGATTGAAAACTTACCTGGCGTTTGAATGTGACATCTCACAGAGAGACTAGTTCAGTGCCCCACAGAAGAAAGATATATTCTGCTTCAAGATGTAATCTAGTGTGGTAGAGGAAGATTATCTCTGGGCTGTTGGCTTCTGTTCACACAATCCCTTCATGATTTATGGCGACAGGAGTGCATTAGTGATGCCAAAGGTATTACCAGATGAGTATGTTCTGACCCATGCACTGTCTCTGACCTTGCCTCTGTGGGAAAGCTTTCATGTGTTAGGCTGTGCTTGTGTAGGAACATCTCTCTGTAAAACAGAAAGTACGAATTTTTAAGCTAACATGATATAACCCACTTCCCTCAAACAAATGGGTTTTCGTTCTTCCTCTGGACTAAATTATATCACTGTGAAGAAAGGGAGGGAGGTATTGAAAGCAGGACTGATAAAGTCTTTTCCTTATCCCCTTAAAAAACAGAGGAGACATCTTGTTTACATGGTTATCATGGTAGAACTGCCACTCAAATTTTCATTTTCATTGGAAAATCACTTTAATTTTGCATTTCAATAGAATGCCACTATGTCATGCTGTGGCGAGTTAACCAAAGGAAATTATACGATAAAGTGGCTTTTGGCACTTCAGTATTACAGATAATCACAGCAGCAGCAACACAATCCACCCTCTCTGCCCAAAAGCCATTGGGTCTGAAATATTTGCAAGTTGTATTGAATAAAATGTGAGTGTATATATATGCAACCACTAGATGTTACACCTGAATCCCCTGGCATCTCTGACCCGCTGTCTGTGGATTTCAGATACTGGATTTTGGAATTTCCTGCGGAGTTTAACTTGGATCTTGGGCTGATTCGTTTGACTGAAGAATTTCGAGAAGTAGCCAGCCAGCTGGGATATGAGGATCACATCCATTTCATTGATATATCCAGCATGTAAGGATGTTACAAGCTTCAACATCTTTGTCTAAGTAACAGCAGAATTCTAATTTTGTGCAAAATATAAAAACATCAAGGGCCATCTTGATCTTGACCAAGCAAAAAAGCAGTTACAAAAGGATTGTATTTTCTTCTAAATACAAAGTTAGCAAAAAGTTGGAATTCTAGTTGTAGTGTTCTGGTTGTAGGTTCACAGTGAAGAGAAGATTCTTATCTGTAGGTTGGTTTTTAATATAAATGAGAAATGAGTAATTTTTCTGAAAAAGCTAATGCCAATTAAGTGATTAATATTACTTTTTTCCTATTTTTTTCATACAGAATGACAAGCAATGCAGTGACTAGCATGTGTAAATCTTCTCAGGGAATCTTTTTCATTCTCTCATCAGTAATCTGTTGTGGTTTTTTTCTAGTGGCTTTCTATGTACTTCTTTGCTGTGATTTAACTGGATAATCTTTAACATTTATATTTTTAGTTTCATTGCACCACAATGATTACACTATTATTTCTTTGACACACTGAAATGAAAGTTACCTTTTAAACATCACCAGATAGGCTCTTGTATTTCACCTCATATTGTAGATTTTCTTTCAAAATATATCATATGCATAATGACTTTTTCTTACTTACAAATGCCATAGTAACCTGGAAGAACAGCATTACTAATCTCAGTGAAGTTTGCAAGATTTCCTTCAAGAGCCGTACCAGTGAAATCACATGAATGTTTACTCTTAAGTCTTCATTTAAAAATATGTTAGCAACCTCTTTCTGCTCTCTGAAGTGCTTTTAGTGTGTATGGGTAAGAATTACTCCATTGCTTGCAAGCAAATGATTTGCCTTTTTGTCTACCCACTTCTATTTTGTTAAGTTTGATTTTTTTTTTTGTGCTGTTCCATTATTTCAGAGACCTGTGGTCTTACAGAGTAAAAATTGATGTTGTTCAAGTCTATTTTTATACTGTATCAAAATTTGATTTGCCTTGTATTCCCAATGCATTTTTTAATTATGGCTTCTTGTATCATAGAGAAGAATACATTGTAATTTTGTTCTGACAAAAACTTGCTATTATTTATCATTTGCAGTAGCACCTCTGAAACTCTTCTATTATGCATCTGAACAGGTCTTTGACTGTTTATTGTGTGCTGAATGTCACAGATCAGAAAACTCATGATGTGTACCAAACAGAAATGAGAATTTTACCTATTTTCTGTTGCAGTCCTTCCTATGACTGGATGAGAAGAGTTACACAGAGGAAGAGGATTTCCAAGAAAGGAAAAGCCTGTCTGCTGTTTGACCATTTGGAGCCCATTGAGCTAGCTGAACATCTCACTTTTCTGGAGCATAAATCTTTCAGGAGAATTTCTGTAAGAAGCCTACAGCTTTGTCACTTAGAGTTAGGAGCTTGTCCTTAAAGAGTGTTCATATGGTCTAACAATTATGACCTTTTTCCTTTGACGTTCAGTGTAGTAAATCTCTATAATCCTTCATATGATGTGCATAGGCTGTGGCTGCACCAGCACTTCCCTGATCTTTTTCATGATTGATGTTTTTAGTGACAGAAGTTAAGTTCGTGGAGAAATCGTGGGCAAAAGTTACTGCTAAAAGCTACTGCAGCCAAGTATTGCAGCCCTTGTTTGAACTAATATTGTTCAAAATCTTTTTTTTTTCTCTCCAAGAAAGAGAGAGTCTTTACAATGAATTATATTTCCAGACTGAAATATATGTAGTCCTTCTGTTGTCTGTCTTCACTCCCAAATACTTATTCGGAAACTGTCATTTCTTCTGTCAACTTAGGATCAGATACTAACTGAAGGGATCTCTGGAGGCCTTTAAGCCAAACCCCTGCCTAAGCAGAGTCAGCTCTGAGATAGATTATATTCCTCAGAGATTTAGCCTGTTGTGTCTTGAAAACCTGCAAGAAGAGAGACAGCACAAGTTCTCTTTCCTCCTCCCGTATTGGCACTGAGGAAAATTCAGATACAGTTGCTTCTTTCACACAGGATTGTACATGAACAAGAGGCAAAAATAGACCAAAATGCAAGTAGAAGCTAAAGCAGAACAAATGAGTAACCTAAATGCTAAAATAAATACTAATTTTTGCTGTCAAATATCCATACGAAAATGTCACATAATGCCACTGTATCTTGTGGTAAATAGAAGCAATCAGTTCTCAAGATGACAAGTTCCTTTCAGCAATAAAAAAAAAGATGTCTTTTTTAAAGTGTTTAGGAGCATGAAAGAAGTCAAACTCAAAAACTAAGAAAATATATGAGGGGTTTTGTTTGTTTCAAGAGAGGAAGGAAAAAGAGATCAATGAGGAGCTGAGACCAGTCTAAATAGAATCACATGTGATGTCATTTAATAGTGTTCAAATGTTTATTACTCTAGACTTCAAATCGTAGGAAAACACCCTACCACAACCTCTGCAATGCTCACCTCAAAGGAGAGAGGGACAAGAAAATAAGGATGGGAGTTATAGAAACAAAACTCAGACCTGCGATAAATTTTCTTTTTTCCTTGCTGTTTCTAATTTGTCTGTTAAATCTTTGGCTTGAATTTTGCTAACTCAGATGTTTCTTTGCAACCAGTTAGAGTTAATTAATCTTATACCAAGACATAATGCAATATAGAACTTTGAAAGATGCACTACTTGTTTATGAGTCTGGTAACTAAAAGCTGTAAGAATAGTACATTTCCAGGAAATAAGGTGAAGGTCACACCTCAGAACAGAGGTTGAAACACAAGACCAGTTTCACTAATCTAATGTAAAGAAAGTTGACAACCACTACAGAGAAACAACTAACAGTTATTTTAAGATGTCAATGACAACAGGTAGTTTGCTGTAAACTGTTCAGAAATGTAAGATTGCCACCTGTTTCTTCAAGGTAGATGAAAATGTTATCTCAAAGTTATGTAGTTGTAAAATTGATTAGTCTGAATCCTGTGTTTGGTTTCACCTATTTTAAAAAATGTGAGGGATAAGGAAAGTCAGGGTTAACTATAACAGAAAAAAATTAAAAGTATCTCAACACTGAGACAATGTTTTTCTGCAGCTCTGAGATAAGCATCTGCCATGTAAGAGCATATGCCATCATATGGTCTTCTAGCAGGCAATTTTTGATCAGCCAAGACCAAGAAACCTGTGCTGCCTGACAGTACTACCATCTCCCTGCACAACCTGAAGTTATGACATAAGCTTCTGAAAATCCATCTTAAAGAGATAGCTGAAAAATATTTTCCAAACATTTAGGGAAGTGTAATTCTGGAGAATGGTAGCTCTTCCATGAGCATACAGGGACTGAACAGTAACATTAAAGGAAGTGAGATTTAGCATAAGTATCTCCTTGTGCTACAGATTATTTTTTTTTCTACATAGGAGGAAGAAAATGGGTGCAGAGGTAGCTTCTTGGGATGCAGTTCAAGCTCTTGTGAATAGTTACAGAGCTCCTACTGATTTCATCAGGGCCGAAATTTCCCTCTTTACATCAACAATGCAGTTGGTCAGGATATTGGAGTGGGATGAAAGTTCTTATTTATATGCTTCTTGCTTGTAGTTCCTGTAGAGTATCACGCCCTGAGGACATCAAGTAAAACTACACAGAATAAAATGTTGTAAGTGTTGAATAAATTATGGGGAAGACGATTCCATGGAAGTAATAATCACGCTCATCATGCATGCTGCTGTGTGCATGACACAAAACCACTAAAGTTTTAATTTGACATTTAAGTAATAAAAAACCCAACAAAACCAGCAAAATTTTAAGGAAGAACTGATGAGCAAAAGGGTCTGCTGACTCTGAGTCTCAGTCACTTTCTACGTAAGAAGAACTTTAAAAGGAGAAAATTATCAAGCTTCAATTTGATTCTGAAGTCATCTACCATTTTACTGAACTTTTACTGAACTTTTTACTGCCTTTCTTCTGTTAGTTCACAGACTACCAAAGCTATGTGATCCATGGCTGCTTGGAGAACAATCCTACTTTGGAGAGATCTATTGCTTTATTTAATGGTATTTCCAAATGGGTCCAGCTCATGGTTCTCAGCAAGCCAACACCCCAGCAAAGGGCAGAAGTAATCACAAAATTTATTAATGTTGCACAGGTAAGTCTTGCATATGAGTCTTTTTCCTCCAGTATAAAGTCATAATACAATAGAGATTTCAGTAAACAAATTAACTGGATGCTTTTTGAACTGTTTCCTCAGTGAGTAGCCTGTTCAACATCAATGCAGGTTATTTGTTCCAGTGTGATATGACTGTATTTTTTAACTAGCAAACATAACTATAAAATACTTTTCCTTTGTTATATTCTAGCTGACAACTGTCACTATTGTTTGTTTCTTGTGGAGCTAAATGCTGAACCATTCTGTTGTGTCCTGGTTTAGTGATTTAGCAGTGATAGATTGTCTCCTTTCACTAGTTTTGTGTGACACTGGAGAGCTGCCACATATATTTCCTTGATTTTTAATTATGCATGATCAACCTCTCCTGCAGAAGCTCCTTCAACTGCAGAACTTCAACACACTGATGGCAGTTGTGGGAGGCCTAAGCCACAGCTCTATTTCTCGGCTGAAAGAGACTCATTCTCATCTGACTTCAGAAGTCACAAAGGTATGGCGGGCTCCAGAATATAGATATACTGAGCACAACGTCATCTCTTTGAGGTCTGACAAGTTCTGTAGAGCAGGTATCTCACCAGCGTGATACTTGGATCATGGCACAGCATCCTAAAAGGCACTTTGATTGCATTCCTCTTGGTGGAGAAGGATCAGCTCATGGACATCCTCTACTTGATTGCCTATGCCAACAACACTGTCAACAATTAACAGCTAGCAATTAACATTTAGCAGTTAACTGGCAGTTAACACTGTCAACACCCTGACATGCATTGTGCTTATTTAAAACAGATTAATTAAATGCTATGAATGCTTTCACACAGACTTTCTTCTCTGCCTATTTGTAGGACTGGAATGAAATGACAGAGTTGGTCTCCTCCAATGGAAACTACTGCAACTACCGCAAGGCTTTTTCTGACTGTGTTGGCTTCAAAATTCCTATTTTAGGAGTTCATTTGAAAGACTTGATTGCTGTCCATGTCATTTTCCCTGACTGGATAGATGAGAACAAAGTTAACATAGTGAAAATGCAGCAGCTTTCCATCACCTTGACTGAACTAGTTTCCCTGCAAACTGCCTCTCATCATTTAGAGCCTAATATGGATTTAATCAACCTCCTAACTGTAAGTACTGAGCATGTTTCAATTCAATTATTCAGATGTTGAGTATCAGCAGGAATATTCATATATGTAAAGATAAGCACAGTTATCCCAGTTTTGTAAAACAAAAGGGAGAGAATACAAAACATAAACAATATCACGTAAGATGTGAATAATTTCAAAGAAAGTTTCATTGCTATAGTATGTGATGGCTAGAAGCAGCAATAGGATAGTTATCAACTAATTGTTTTAAGGATAACAGAAGGAGGGCTGTATTTGCACTAGGCAAAGTAAAAACTAAGTTCTGACTGCTTAGAATTGAGGGTTATGTCTCCTGTGCAAAGGTCGGGTGGCATGCTGACATGGATGCACAAGTGAAATTCCAATTTGGCTGACACTTTGTTATTGCTCACCTGTGCTTTGTGTGTGACACAGTACTCTTCCTATGCTTTTGAATGGTGTTAAAGATTCCCCACAACCACTGTTCTTTCATTTCCTCTTCCCCCTTGTCAGTGGATACATTTGAGAAGGTCTGAAATCTGCACACACAAATTATAGTTAAGGATTTGAATGTCCAATTTCAAATCTAAGGAAAGTGAGATTTCAAAAACAGTGAATGAAATATTTCTAAAAAAATAAAAATTAAAAAAGACTGCACAGACAATGCTAAAACGAATTAATGTTCAGTGGTTTTTTAATATGAGGACAAGGACTGTCATTTTAATAAATACTATATTTTATTTCAAAACATATTGAAGCGTGGAACCTGAACCACCAGTCCAAATCCTGTTTCTACTGAAATTTAGTCATTCTGTCATTGGTCTTGACTGCAGCAGTATTTGCCATAATGTCAGTTTGTTCAGGTCATGGGCAAAAAACAGTGTCTTAGAATTAAAGATAAAATCTGTGAAACCTGAATAAAAAGAATGTTGTTGTTTCTATAAACTAGTTGATGTTGCTAGCAAATAAAAGCCTCTGAAAGAGAATCTGTTTGCTCTCCTTAAATTAATAGAATTCTTTAAAATATAAACTTAGAAATAATCAATGTCTGTGTGTAACTAGGGCAGATTTCAGGATTTTTCTAGTGCTTATTTTGTTGCATAGCATGAGCTTCTCAGAATTTATTCCCTGGTGAGGTGCGAATGAAATTCCATTTTTTTTTTCTCAATCACATCACAGACTTATTGTGACTCTCATTACCTACCTTGTTCTAGGTAAATGCATTACCTGGAGGGCTACTGGGCACGAGCTTTGAATTTTTTCCTTTCATGCTTTACTTTGAAATGCTCAAAAATGTGCATGTCTAGAAGTTAAGCAGATGTTGTAGTTTGTGGTGGGATCATGTTGGGACTGATCGGGTGTAGGAGTTTACACTATGGAGGCTGACAAATAGGAGCCTGAGTCTGAGGCAGCCAAGACAGTGTGGATATACCTGTGGCCTCACTGTAATGAGGAATGGGAAAGCTTGGGGGAACAAGAAAACCTTCTTCTATTGCACTTTGTATGGAGTAATCTGGGAATAAGTCCTAATCGTGGTTAGTGGGACAGGGAGAAGGGACTGTGTATTGCCCACTGCTACATCCACCTAATTAAAATATTAGGCTATAATGGCAGGTATTTATTACCTTCTTTTGTTCTGATAGAGATTGAGAGTCTCTTTCTTACCTCATGCCACTCTTTCACTCCCTACCGGTTTCTGAAAGTTCATAGTTTCTTACAAGCTTGACTGTGAGTAGGGGGAAGTGGAACCTCGGGTTTTAGAGAACTGAGCAGTAAGAAACTGAGCCCAAAAGGGCAGAAATTAGACAATGTGAAGCAAGAGATGGAAGCTGAACCACTGCTGCTGACATTTTCTCGAGCTGTTCTTTTCTGGGTGACAGCCTGTTTTCCAAAAGGGGCAGTAAGATTCACGTTTTTCTAAGACCTTGCAGGTTCATTCCTATCATTCCCATCATCCCATTACCAGTGTCAATTTATATATTTTACCTGTTTTTCCATTTTTAAAATATTTTCTTTTTTTTGTTTTTAGCAAAATGGTACAGATTTTATTTACATAATGTTTCATTCAGTATATTTTGTTTACCAGAAGTAATTGAATACATAACAAGTACTTATTTGCTTACTATGCTCTGATGTATTATTTCGTAATATAACTGTTGATTTTTGGTTTACAGTTGAGCCAATCTGATTCTAGATAAATGAAGTTGCACGATGCAGTGTAGATTCCAGACCTGACCATGGGTTAAAGCTTGTGCTGCTTTTTACCTGCTAAAATGATTCCATGGTGATACCTTTCAGTAATGATGGAGATAGCCATAGGTATCCTAGCTACACAGATGCAGGTATCCTAAAACCTTTTGAGGGTAATTTTGTCTTCATAGTAATCACTGGGAGTGTAGTTGTGAGTCAAGTAGAATTGATAGTGTTGCAGTTTTCATGTAAGATGGTGACTCCTGGAAAAACAAAATTTCTACAAAGGATTCCTGGACCTGAATTTTGGCACATCTCGTAATATTATGAATGAGTATGAATATTTTGAATATTCTCACTTTTCTTCCAATATTTAAATTTTGTCTTCATTTGTATGTATGAACACATTACAGTAATTGTTTGGGGCTTTTTTACAGTGGTCTCTTAAATAGTAATAATGAACATATATAGTAGATGAAATGTTTTTGTCAATCTTTTTTGTTAATAAGTAAGTTTTAAATTATAGGCTGGGGTCAGAGAAAGAAGAAAGCTAGGACTGAAGCACAAAGCTGACAAGGACTGACTAAAAATAGTTGACCTTGCTACCTGCAAATGGTCTTTTAGCAGATTTAAACTCCCTTGCTGCCGAAGTCATCCTTGGTTTTCAGAACCTGAAGAAATGACTATTTTATTTATTGCTACGTCTTCCCTTTCTAATGTAAACTATAAAAATATTCATCTTAACTAACTTAGAGAAACTCCCTTTCAAAACTAGTAAATGTGTATAAACATGTAGAGTGCTTTTCATTTGCGCGTGAATCAGCTGACCCAACTATTTACTCACTTCTGCTGTTTCCCATTAGGCTGTTTCTATCCAGGCAGGCTTTTAGTGTTTTGTCCTGATAAGCAATGTGTAAATCTCCTGCCTGGCCTCTGTCCCTTGTGGTATTGCCTTTTACACCTCACTCAGAGAGCGCTAACAGCCTGGCTTGTGCTTGCTTGACAAGTAAATCACTGGGTGCCGGTTTGCTAGTCCAACAACTTGCACAAAAAGATAAAATGGGTATTTCATGGACTAAGTGCCTCAATCTTTCTTTACTCAGTGGTGGAGCGCTATCTGCTCTGGGGGAGCTGATGCCTTTCAAGTGGTTTGGAAATGCTGGTGTTTGGGAACACTGCGTTAAGAGCTATGAAGTGATAGTTTGGCTTAAAAGCCAGGGCAAAGAGCTTGGTAGTAAACTCCAAGCCACCTGGTCAAGGGTCTCCACAGGGATTTTT